ACAATTTCTCCATGGGGATCAATAAAGTATCAATTATTATTATTATTTCATAGTCATACATTCTTCAGGGAATTCTTTCTGTGGTATCAAAGAATCAGCTGGTTTCACATCTTACACAAACCCTTTATTATTCCTTGACGGCATCCATAAATAATTTGACGAATTAGCATTTTGTGCCTTGTCACATGACTCACCATGACCTGTCTGCCTGCTCATCACTGGAATGTCAGTATCATGACGTGCCCCCCCCCCACCACTCTAAAGGTGAGGGCAGTTCAGTGTATGTAGTCTGGCTCATTGCTAGGATGCCACAGCTGTGGGCGGAGGAATGAAGGCAGGGTGGAGTCCAGGGCATTTTCCATGGGAGCAGGGCGTGAAAGGTTGTTTTTAAAATATTTGTCATTTTTTAAGTGTAATCTGTGTCTGGGGAAAGGGCAGTTTAGATGGACTTCCTCACTTCCTCAGTGCCTGATGGGGACCGGCAGAGTGAAATTTAATAAGCAAAGTTCTAAGTTTCTTTATCCTAAGAATACTTTAAACTTGCGAACAAATAACTCTGCTAGGTAGGGCTAAGAGAGCTGCTTGTGAAGTCATGTGTGTTTGCAGTTGAAGCAATTAGGGCATGTCTGTGGATTCTGTGGAAAGGGTGTAAATAGCGGAATATTTCATAAATCCCGATTTGTACCTCCTGTCTGATTGCCTGCTCTGTCTTCTCATTTCTCTGTCACTCAGAAGGAGTCTCTCAGCTCCTCAGAGACTGACCTGCATAAGAAGAAGTTCCACACCTTCTCTTTCGGCTGGAAGAAGAAGAAGAAGCAGAAGTCGCAGCTTTCTGCTGGGCTGTCCCGGAGTGTGGCGGAGCTGGACGCCTGCACGCCGAGCTTTCAGGAGCAAGAGCAGGAGGACTTGGACGGAGGAGATCGGGAAGAGTGTAGCGGGGAGCCAGGGGAAGAGAGCAAGCGTGTCAGATTCTCTGCTTCTTCACCACTAGGAGAGCAGCTTCCGTTGCTCTCTCTGGAGGCCCAGGAAGGGTCTGAGATATTGGAAGATCCTTCCAGTGTGATGAGCACTTGGTCCACTGAAGATGGCTTGGCTGGGACATGGCACCCACAGCCAAGCTGCTTCTTCTCTGCTGAATGTGACGAGCAAGATGCTGCAATCCCTGATGCTGACCCCTCTGGCCGTGCTGACATGCATCCCAGCAGCAATGTCTGTCCCCAAGCAACATTCGAGACAGATGTTGGCCGCCCAGTCATTCCCACCCCTGACTCAGTTTTTTCTGTTATTGCTCCATCTGTCTCTGTCCTCTCTGATCCCGATCTAAACCCTGCTGGCAGTTACCACACTGACTTTTACCATCCAACTCATGTTGAATCTCAACCTTTCCAATCCCAAATGGGCCTCTCTGCCTCTCTCTTTGACACACAGCCCTCCGTTTGTGATAGATACTCTTATACCCATAGTGATGCAGACTGTACTGTGCCTGACACTGAACACCCACTTACTGAAACTAATAAGTCCTCTTCAGATGACACTGACCCCACCTTGGCTAAAATTGAGAGTTCTCTGTATAACAGAGACCCCACCAGATACAACATTGACTCTGCCCTCCGCAGTGACATTACCTCCTCAGTTTTAAGCAATCGTTCCCCTTTCAGTAATATTGACAACAGCTCCTCCCTCACCAGAACTGACCTCTTACAACCTTCTCACAACAGCGAGTCCTCAGCACTTGACATCACTGCTTCCTTCACAAATGTAAGCTGCTTCCTCAGTAGTGATTCCGGCCTTACACACTCAGATCACGCCGAAAGATGTGAAGTCGTCACCACAGTCGACTCTACCCCAAATCGAAAGGCTGGTGACTCACTAGATACTTGTGACACTTTCCCAAAAACCGTTGCCACTGAGTCCCATACAGATACCTGTCTTACAGACTTTTTTTCCACCAGTGATGAACCCACCCCCAGAAATGATCGTATCTCTGTAGGGACAAACCGTGAAGCTCCAGGCTCATACCTTAGCAGTCGCTCTGTGCCGCCTGTGGACACTGGCCCCCGCTTCCTGAGTGCCGAGTCCTCTGCTCCACTGCTGCCTACTTCTGACATCAGTGACCCTGTCATCCTGAAAGAAGACACTCTCAGCACTTCTGACTTTCATTCTCCTCCTCAGTGTGTTGCTCTGTCCACATTCCCTCTTACAAGCATCTGTCACTACAAGCCAGAACTTGACCAAGAAATGGGGAAAACGGGAGAGAGTCTGGGCACCCGAGTAAAAATAGAGGAGGTGGAGGTGGGCATGGAACAGAAGGAGCGAGAGGCATGGAGGGAGGGGCAGGAGACAGAGGTGAGGATGAAAGACCTGGAGCCTGAGGTGAAGATGGAGGATCAGGGGCAATGGAGGAACCACCAAGAAGTAGAATTACAGATCGGGCGCATTTGGGCTGAAGGTATACCTGGGGCCAAGAAGATGGAAGGGGGGATGGAGAACCAGGAGGTGAGGATGGAGGACAATGACTTAGGAGCTAGGTTTCAGGAACAGGATGCCAAGCCAAGAATATTGGACCATGGAACAGGGAACGAGATGGAAGTCCTAGGCGCTATAATGGGGGGGGGAGGTGGAGTAGAGCCCATGAGCTCAGGTCATCAGGAGATGGAGGCTATCATGAGGGAACAAAAGGGAGAACTGGGAAAGGGTGACAAGCAGCTTACGTTTCAGATAGCTGGTCAGGAGCAACAACTGATACTGGCTGGTGACGTCAAGGAAGCATGGAAACCTGACCAGACTGATGACTCACACGACGCTTGGAAGGTCACGCAAGTGGCTGGGATCATTTCTGCTGTTTTTCCAGGATCAGGGGAACTACGTGAGGAAGACCAAAAGGAGGAAGAGTCCTCTACTCATATGCGTGATGAGTATCTAGAAGGAGGGAAGGAAGAAATGGATAGGGGCTATGGACGAGTGGAGCGGGATGGAGAGAAGAAGCACAGAGAGATGGAAGAGAATGCAGAGCAGGAGGGATCTCAGTGGGGCTTTGGAGAGTCAAAGCAGCAGCGTTTCATTAGCATCGGTGGGGAGGGTCTGCAGTGGCCTCTTCAATCGGTGCTGAAACCAGACGTACCTGTCTGTCAGGTGCAGGCATCTGAGGAATGTCTGACTGCTACGCCTACTCAGGGGCACGAGGAGAAGGGGGCAGGGCTGGGGATGGCTGCTCCGGCCCTCCTGGAGAGAAAAAAGCAACCAGGAGACCAGACAGAATCTCAGTGCCGGAATTCCCAGAGTGGAGAGACAGACGACAGCACAGGAGCGGCTGCCGGCGCTGAGAGGACACTGACTGTGACCTGGAGAGAGGCCAACACACTCATCCTTCGGGACAGCGTGGCGAGACCAGAAACAGCCGGTGACAGCGAGGAAGGAAGAGAGGGCAGCAGAGAGAGAGCCGGCGGCCTGCCCAAGGACCCCGAGGGAGTCGTGCAGAGGGCCGACACAGAAGCGTTCCCGAGGGCCTCGGCCACATCGCAGGCGCCCGAGACCACGCATGCGGCTCTTCCCGCGGGGCCCCAGGAGCCGAGCCGGGAAACACGTGGGCCTTCTTCCCGTGAGCAGTGAGTAGAGCCCCATTCCAGGCCTCGTCCTCTCTGACGTCGGACTGGGGGGGGGTATTCTTTAATATTCTCACCCTGGAGGACACCCGCGAACAGCTACAGACACGTTCTGCCCTCCCCATTACCAGACATTTAATGGGGTGTATTTTTATCACACCCACAGAAGTTCATTCTGGCTCGTTAGCTGCTGCGTCGTCTGCTCACATTGGAAGCCCACGGTGAACCGCTGAAAGTGCTGAGCTGTATTATTTTTTTTACTACAGCTCCAGGCTGAAAGTGCAGAGATTGTCATTGCAGATATTCTTGCCTCAGCCAAGTAATGTGTAATATTCCCTTTAATTTGTAGGAGTAAAAAGGAAATGCATAATGTATTAATGATTTACTGCAAACATCATTGCAAAATCAGTCAGGGTGCCATGTCTGTCTGTCTGATTTACACCAGATACAGCAGGTGAGCTGTACTGGAACCAACCCCTAACCTAGAAAATGTATGCAATATAATAATAGATACTCCTATTGATCCCCATGGGGAAATTATCTTTTTACGCCTCCCTCAACTTTCTCTTTGTAGAGTAAGCTGTCCACAAAGGGCAGCTACCCATAGTAGCACCCAGGGAGCTGGGGGTTAAGGACCCACAGATGTACTGAGGCTGGGTTTGAACCAACAACCTTCTGAGTACAGGCACAGCCCACTGAGCCACACACTGCCCCATATGAGGCCAACCTTAAGTTCCTCGGCTCTGAAAACAACTTTAAATTATTTTATAGTCTGTGTGTTTTTTTTCTGTCATTATTTGTAGACTGTCCTTTGAATGTTACCCTGAAAAATCACATTTGATACGCGTCAGTGGCATAGAGGCATGTGGCCAGTCCTGGTTTACTTTCCTTTAACACGTAACCGGTAACAATTGGCTGCCACTCTAGAGTGTAAGATCGCCAGATTGCCCTGGACAAGCAGAAGAAGGCAGTGATTAAATATCATGGTCCTGTAGCTCTCAGCAGTTTCCATGTGAAGCCGTTCTTGTAATTTCACTAAAATTTGGGTGTGAATGTTTGCCATGCCATCTTTGACATGTTTAACATTCTTTGTTTTGTTTGTGGGTCATTGACAGGAAATGTGTGAGTCCTTTGTCCACCTCCAGGGGACTCCTTGCTTTGCCTGAAATATCTTTTTGAACAAATGAGTTATATAAGGAGATATTAACTTCTCTGGCTGTGAGTGGTGCTAGAGGAGCTCTAGGTGAATCCAAAAAGGGTTTGCAGACTCCAGGGAGTCGGCTAGATGTGCAACTGGACACATTTGTTAAATCAGATCAAAAACATGGAGCAAATATTGTTAGAGGAATTGATTCTCTTCTACTGCCCCTGGAGTGTGTGGGGGGGCAGGCTTGCTTCTGATTTGGTTTATTCCACGACACGCTCATCTCCGACATCTCTGGCCTTGAGGCCACAGCCACCTACCTCACATCTTATCTGTCTAATCTTCATTCACAGACCACCACCTTTCTCGGTCTGCCACTATCGCTCAGATAACTTGTCTGATCTGAAGGCACGTTTGACTTGTAGTCAATTGTTCAAGATTCCCGGTCAAACCATTTCATTTTCAGTCCTTTCCGAACTATGTAGTATAATTTTTTTTGAGAAACCGTATCTGTGTAATTATCTCCTGCGACTGGCAGGACTTACAAACATGTCATATGTTATTGACAGGACTGTGGATACACCTCTTCCTTTCTTAGTGTCGTGGTGAAATTAACTCGAGTGTGCATGGAAATTTTTCTTATGGGCCAAGGTTACGTAAAGTTAGTACATGTGACACGTCAGTGGAGCACGGCAGTGCTTCCAGAACATTCTGGTGATAAAACAGTTACTGCAGCAATGGGCGTGTGTGCACAGAGACATGTCAGTATGAGGAATGTGGTTATGGGAGACTGACAGCTGCAGTACATTCCAGTGTCCACATGGAGGTGCTAGTGTGTCAGTGAATAAAGCCCGGATGAAACAGTTGTGTAAAAACTGAGAGGCCAGAACTGGAGAGGCAGTGAGCCACACCTGGTGTGGGAATGAAAGCGACGAGCCTTGCAGAGGCAGGGTGACGTGTTCCTGCAGTGCTCCAGATGCAGGACTGTTAAGCACACCCAAATAACGTCCACACACACCAGGCACAAGTGCGGCTAATTGTCATGTCAGCCGTGAATTCCAGTCGCTAACACCCCTTTCTGTTTTTTTTTGTTGTGTGATGCCAATGAGGCCTGTAATGATGACTCTTCTGGCTCCGTTTTCACCCGCAGTGTCTCAGGGTGCGTCACTTGGACAAGCTATTTTTTGGCCGGACGCCCTCGCTGGTTAACTTAAACTTCATAGGTGCCAATAACTGTTTGCTGCTGAGGTTTGTCCAAAATGGTGGCAAAACTGTTTACAGTCTGTATTAGAAGACGATGGAGAGTAACCCATTGCTCAGATTTCTTTGTGGGGGTGTGGATGCTTTCCAGTGTCAAATCACGTAAAGTCTTTCATTCCCCCTGCAATCTCTTACTCTATGTGGGTCTATTTTTATACGGCATCTCTATTTAGATGCACGGTCGCCAACTCTCATGCATCTGGCGTGTCAGTCACGCTTTCTCACACTCACACAAGAAATCTCATAGCAAATCTATATTATTCCATTCTAAACCTAAAATTAGCTTAATCAAAACTGTTGGGGTAGTTTGCAAACCCTGGCAACTATTTACAAGGTAATAAAGCTGCTACACACAATCAAATGTGTGTACATGTGTGTGCAGGCTTGTCTCGAACTGCAAATCTCACGCAAACCAGCTGACCTGTGACCTGTGGCTGGTTCCCCCCCTTAATGCGGCACTTGACGTGCTAGAAGGCAGGCAGGCTTGTGAGTGTGTCCATTCGCAGCTTCTAGCGATTTCTGTTTTGTTGCAGACTAGGCCTCCGTGGCAGCTGGGTGTTAGCTGCTTCACACGCCACTGCCTTTAGTGCCCGCTGTGGTGGGAACACTGGGATTCTTTGACCTGTTTCCTGCGCACGGTTTTTGTGGGGCCCCTGGGGAAGCTCCTGCCGAAACACACCTCTGCCGGTTTATTGAAGCGCGCAGTGAAACCACACACTGGTTTTGATGGTGAAACGGCTTTCACCACAGCAGATATAAATGGTGTAAAGCCAATAAATACGTAGCACAATTTCTGGATTTTCTAACTATTCTTCCCCAGTATTTTGCTTTATCCTTTTATTTACTTAGTCATAAGCATGTTTGGCTCCTCCCAAGCTGTATCTCCTCCGGGGCTGGCCACGCCAAAACCACCTAAGCATTTTGCTGTTTTGCCGCTGATGACATGCTTCTCTGATATTTTCTTCAAAATTTTCTTATGGTTTTTTTATACCTTTACTTTTATAGATTTATTTTGTATATTTTTGTATATTATAATAGTTTAAATTCACTGCTGGTGTACCACTCCTCTCATGCATGTGACAGAGCCCTTGAATCTTGATCCTTCAGCATGGCCGTGTGTGTCCAGTGTGTGTCCAGTGTGTGTGCAGTGTGTGTGAGATTCCCTGCGCCCGGCACTTCCATCATGGGGTCGTCCCGGAGATTTGGGAGATAACATATAGCCAATGGTGTGGGCAGCGACAGCGTCGCCTTTAACTTTCCATCTTACCACTGGCACATATACAGCCAAACAAGACGCAGAAAGAGCGCTTTGCCAAACTGTGCTTTGTAATAGCAAAACAATAGTGGTGCAGGTTTTTATGGCTGCCATTTACAGCCAGTTTCATTCATTCACTTTAAAAATCAGTTATTTTTTTTTTGTGGTTTCAAAATCAGTTTATTAGGGTTGGCAAATGGATTTTTGTGGATGATATTAGTTGTAGTGATTGTTTTCCAGTATTCTTATGTCCAATTACTAATTCATTCCATGGAAAAACTAGCAAGGTTGCAGCTTTGCAGTATGAATTTATACACAAACAGACACACAAACACACACATACAAACACATATATATGTATATATATAAAACGTATCTGAATACACATAAATGACATTTATTTGGGTGCGTAACTCTTGCCTTTTTCCACTTCGTTTGCCTCTCAGGTCCCTGGCTGTTGTAGGTCTCCATTCGGCTGCCCCAAAGCAACCTGCTTCTGAAAGTGCTGGGCCCCAAACATTCCCTGGGTGCGACGGCGCCATGGACTCAGGTGTGGCAGTTCTGAGCACCACCCTCAGTGTGAGGCCTGCTCCGGCACTGCATGCCCAGGGAGAGTGGAAGCAGCGCTTCCACAAGGTATCACTGGTGCATGCAAGTGAGCAGCTAGTCCCCAGCCAGGAGCCTGATGGTACCAGTAGGCTACAGGCTGCACCTAGCCTCAGCTCTACCTACCAGCGAGATCCAGAGCACAAGGAGGCCCGCCTGCAGGTTCACTATGTGGAGGAGACTTTTGTTTCTGATCTAGGTGCACCTGAATCCAGGATCTCCTCCATGCCGTTCTCTCTGTCGCGCTACAGTCCGGTGGAGTCTCTCTCTCCCCGTACGTTTCAGGAATCACCCATGACCATAGACTCTGGGGAAACACCTAGTTTCCTTGGAAACAGCATTTGGCTGAGCGAAGTTCAGCGAGATAGGCGGGACTGGGCGGAGCCGACAGCGCTTGTAGGTGACGCGGTGAGAGAGCAGAGCATAAATACAGGCCTGGACACGCAGGTGCGCTCAGATGACGACCGTACCTTGCCAGCAGAAGAGGACCTGTTCTCTGGAGTCTTCCGGGCCATGCGTGTGGAGCTCCCTCCCTCCCCAACCAACCCCACCGTGCCGGACTTAGACTTCCCCAACGACATGAACGCTCTGGTAGATACCCTCAAGAGCCTGGATTGCCCTCCCAGACACAGGGCCCCCCGACCACCACCACTGGCTGCCTTCAGCTCACTTCCGCCCATCCGGGAGGACACGCACTCTCCAGACCACAAGCCAGGGCTGGAAAAGCTCTACAGCAACCTGAGTCAACCTCCAGGCAGCGGCCTGAGCAGGAGCTCGCCCGCGGAGAGGTACACCCCGCTGGAGATGATGAACCGGAAGCCAGAGCTGGAAATGCTCTACAGAAGCTTGAGTCCACCTCCGGACAGCGGCCTGAGCAGGAGCTCGCCTGCGGAGAGGTACACCCCGCTGGAGATGATGAACCGGAAGCCAGAGGTGTCACCTCCGGACAGCGGCCTGAGCAGGAGCTCGCCCGCGGAGAGGTACACCCCGCTGGAGATGATGAACCGGAAGCCAGAGGTGTCACCTCCTGGGCAGCGCAGTCGCTCGCTGTCCTTGCCATTCCTGGAAACCCTTCAGAGTTCCCGTCAGACTCAGATGAATGGAGTCTCCGTGGCCGGTTCTTCACGCCTGGACGGCAGCCTGCTCTTCTCAAGCTACCTGGCCGATCGGGCAACGGAGAACGGGCCAACCTCAACGCATCGCTCTCTGCTCCGTACGGTCTCCACGCCTGAAGGTGCCACCACCACGCGTGACCCAGTCATCTCCGGACACTTGTCCTTTCTAATGACACCTCCCAGCTCGCTCTTAGGACCTGAGTTTGGCAACACGACGCTAATGATGGGCCTTCCTGCGACTAGCCCCGGTGAGCTCCCCCACACGCCCAGCAGTTCCCTGGACCATTTCACTCGGGCTAACCCGCCACCCAGCCACCTAAACGTGCAGCGCAGCCTCACCAGTAACGGATCTATTCTGTCAACCAACGAACCCCAGCACGTGTCTCCCCTCAGTCCCACCACAGAGCCGGACAAGAATGTGGTGCTGAAGTACAGGGCCTTCCCCGACGCTTATGTGAGTACGGCAAGGGGTCAAAGGTTAGGGGGTCAGAGGGCTAAGGGGAGGGGCGGTGTCAGATATCACTGCGAATACATGAGCCCACAAAAGCGCCTGAAATGAGACCCAAGTGAGCACCGGGCGCTTCTCACAACTCAGGCATCACGTGAGCGAAAACTAAGCCGTTCCGTTTTTGTTTAACACACGGTCGACGGAAAACATTTACATTCATTCAATCATCTGACGTTTTTACCCAAAGCAGCTTGTAGTAGAGTGAAGGGTTACAGTTTATCTGTGCTCCCTGGGAAAACGCAAGCATGGTGCATCAGGACAGGGATGAGTGCCACCTGTTTACAGTGGTGTTAGGAACAGGCAATAATAGAGCGGAGCTTCTGACAGCTCATCTCGTTACGTTTATTTGCTCCCCTGCTTGTATGGTCACAGTGCATGACGAACTCGCGGGTGAATTATCTTAAGTGGAGTGTCCTGTTACTGAAACTGGTCTCTTTTACTCGGGTCCTTGAAACTAGGTATGACTCGCAGTGATCCACCCTGGTTTTCTTTTTTAAGACCTGAAGCAAAACCTCACACACAAGAGCACTGTGTGACCTGGGCTTCAGTTACAGCACCTGACTGCTCTGCGGTTGCTGTCTAAAGGATAACCCCGGGTGGGGGAGATCGGACGGACCATGGGAACCGGGCTCGGATGTTATACGAGCTCACGGCAGAGCCTGCCAGCTCGATCCCTGTCACGGGGTGCTGCGGCAGCGCTCACCAGGAGAATATATTCTGTACAGGAAGAAATCCAACATCAACAGCGGCCATTTTTAATGAAAGATACAATAATAGACTTGTTAGGTATTCTTATGTACTTATCATTAATTGAAAGAAAGGCTTAAGGATCAAAATGTGCTCATTTTCATAGACTTGAACGTAAAACTTTGCCAATTTTCTTTTATTTTTTTTCTTAAACCATCATGCAGGGCTCTGAGAATCGCCCCACAGGTCTGATATGGCCAGTTTTGCCCAGGCATGTGGTAACACCTTCCAGAATAGGGAAGTTAGGATTTTTATGTCTGACAAATAGGATGGTCAGTCCAGAGCATAGCAGTGTTCCTAACACAATCTAGTGTTTGTGTGCGTATGTTTGTGTAACTGAATCTGTACAGGAGCTGTGTGTGTGTGTGTGTGTGTGTGTGTGTGTGTGTCGGGGGTGGTGGTGGAGGTGACTGCAACCTCAGTTTCATAAAAATCTGTGAATGCAATCAAAAAAGTAAAAATGCCAAAAGTCTTGTATTTGGGTTGGTTACTTATGGTTAAGGTTAGGAATGGGTAGAGGTTAAGGTTGTCGTAATTGGGATTAGGGTTTTCTCCATAGAAATGAATGGACAGTCCCCATTTAGATAGGAAGACCAACTTGTGTGTGTGTGTGTGTGTTTATATGTGTATATGTGTGTGTGTGTGTGTATATATATATATATATATGTGTGTGTGTGTGTGTGTGTGTGTGTGTTTAGACATTCCACATTCTGGTTCCTAGCCAGGTTGCGAGACGCTGAGGTTCTGGAGGAGGGGTTGGTTCATTTCCAAAAACAAATGATATATTTTCCAACCACACCTTTTCTTGCCCCTCTCATTCGCACATTCTATTCACATTTATGAAATTGCTGATCGGTCCCCCAACACGAGCTGGACATGAACAGTCCTACAGACATCAAAAGGCTGGGAACTCTGATTGTTGATCGTGAGGTGTTTTGTAACATAAGATAATGCAACTGCTTTATTGCCTGGCCAGCATCCGACCAGGGGCACAGCAATTCTGGTTCTAAATTACACCTGTCGGCAGAAGGGGGGGGGGGGGGTTTCATGGGGAGGGAACTCAGCCGTTTGGCCTGTATTAAGCATCCCCACCCAATTATCTGTCAGGTCCTGCATAGCCACACCTCCTTGTTATGTCTGGCATTTGTCTGCCATTTTTAGGTGAAATTTTGATGGGGTAGGATCTCGCTTGCTGGGGGGGGGGGCTGGAAGTAGGTTAGGAAAGTAGGGTAGGTTATGTCGACTTTGTTTTCATTTCAAGACTTTAATCACAAGGTCATATTCTTCACTGGAAAAGCACAGGCGCTCCCTGGGGCTACGTGCATGTTCTGCCTGTTGGAGCCTGCTTGTGTGTGTGTGTGTGTGTGTGTGTGTGCGTGTGCGTGCATGTGTGTGTTAGTGCGTCACTCTGTCCTGAGTGCTGGCCCTCCGCTTGTCACCCCTGTCTGCTACCGCACTGTCGTCAGCACACTGGCCTGGCACTGCAGGGTAGTCGTCGATACTAATACTGACCCTCAGTCGCAAGGTTGCTGTGGTGTTTACATCCTATCAGAGATCTACCTGTATGCCCTCCAAGGTACGGTCCCCAAAGAGAAACAATGCCTTCCTCATCTAGCGGGATGGTGTAATATTTAACAGGATGGTGTCACATCTTGCAGGTTGATGCCATTTTTTGTGTTAGCTAGACTTTAAACTCTCGTCTGCATCTGTCTGATATCATTATGTTTGTGTTTATATACCGACACTCTGCTCATCTCCATATACACGCATGCTGCACACCCTCCTTAAGTCAACACGACTGTGGAATGTTGCTCAGATTAATTGATGCACTTTAATTCAAACAGGTTTTAATTTTGTTCAGACCCGGTTCTGAAGAATTAGTGTTTCTACCCTTTTTTTTTTTACTGGAGGCCAAGTCCAGTTATGTGCAAAATGAGTAGAATCAGGAGTCAGATAAGGGCTGTACACTGTGAAATCTGGCAGGTCACGTAAATAGGAGAATGATGACTTTGTGGCAGATTTTTGTGTAATTTGAAGTTATATATATTTTAGCCCCTCCCCAGAATCTTCTGAAGTTATGATGTTATATATAACAATATTATAATAACTATTATTTATGGGTCTCAAACAACATGTTTCAATTAATGTGAGTTGGGTAAGTGGCACAGTGAATTTTCTCTCACTGATGTCACTCACTGAGTTCTATCTAATTGGTGATGTTTTCTCACTCTGATTGGTGTTCTCTCTCTCTCTCTCTCTCTCTCTCTCTCTCTCTCTCTCTCTCTCTCTCTCTCTCTCTCTGGTCTTTCCAGCTCACCAAAGAAAAGGAACATGGCAAACTCAACCCAAGGCCTGGAAAGGTGAGTGCTCAGTTCTGCAAACCAACAACCCCACCTTTGTTTGTGCTGCCTGTTCTTTGGAAAAACTGCAGCAGAGAGAAGAAGAGTGCGCAGAGAATGGTTAAAGTTAAAAAAGTTATGGATGAAAAATTGCACTGTAATATTATATAAGCAAAATTAAATGTTACACTCTAACATTATATAAACAAAAAAAAACATTACACTGTAACAATATATAAACAAGATAGATTATGTATATTAATATGTATATAATATGTATTTTTCAGTTTTCTTGAATGATTTTGATATCCAGTTTACATCACCAGATGCATTGTGACATCTTTGGCTGGGAATCAGCTTTGCATTTTTTGTTTGTGTTTTGCCCCCCAGCTCTTACAGTTAAGCTAATCAGCGGCTTCCTAAGTACAGACACTCCCCAGGCCAGATGGTCCATGTTACGATATTTCCACTTCATGATGGCTATTCCAGTTCCATTCTGTATTTCACTTTCAGTACTTTATTTAATAAATGACATTAGATATTTAACACTTTATTATAAAATAGTCCAACTGTAGGCTAATGTAAATGTTCTTAACATGTTTTAGGTAGGCTAGGCTATGGTGTTTGTTAGGTTAGGCGTACTGTATTAAAATGCGTTTTCGCATAATTAAATATTTAGTGAAACGCAACCCCATCATAACCCGGGGGAGTGTCTGTAGTTAATAAATTGAATTGAGTGCATTGATGCAGGTAGAGAAAGCCGTGCTGTGTTGCTGTGGGGTTATTCAGACCATGAAGCGTGATGTTGTAAGAGTGACTTCTGACCTGTGAAAATGCGGGTGGCAGCGGCAGTAATGTCACACAATTATATGATTGCATAAGAGGGGCTTTGTCTAGCTGGATTAAGGTGGATTGAGGCTCCACAGTGAGAGATTTGCACCCATGCATGAGCTTAAGGCAGGCAGGGTGCAGCAGTGTGGTACCTCATACAGTGTGGGACAGTCAAAATGACAATCAGTGTACAAATATGCATAAAAAAGAATGCAATTCAATTTGATGGATTTTTATATAGCGCCTTTCACAACAGTGTCGCCCCAAGGCATTTCACATAGGTGTGATGTAATACATTCCTACGTCATTTATACAGAATAATTTACAAAGGGGGAAAATGGATGGTGAAGAAATGAAAGAATCCCAGATGACAATGGAGGAGAGGAACCAAATACTCCCCAGTAGGGCGAAAAGCAACCTCTGGGGGGGCTCTGTAGCACATGCTAACATTATAGACAAAGAAAGAGCGGGCTTGCTTGCTAAATAAGGTGTGAACTGTGATCACAGTCAAAGTCAAAATCCACCAGGGAGTCGGTTCTCGGTGCCGACCTGTGCGGGGTGGCAGACTGAGGGCTGCACCCATGATGTTCCGTAGTGGCTCCTTTCTGAGGGCTGCACCCATGATGTTCCG